CCGTTCCTTTCGTATTGATAATTAGCCCCACCCAAAGCTCGGCTCAAACTCTTGTCTCTCTCTCTCTCTCTCTCTCTCTTTTCTCTTTAGACCGCGTCAAGCGCTACGAAACATTGCTTGTTTGTTAATATCTCATCTACCGTGTCTTTCAATGTTTAATAAATTGCAGTCACGTAGTGGTGTTTTTGTGTTCTCATGCAAAATGTATTCCCGAGCTTTTTCATTATTATTATTATTGTTGTTGTTGTTGCTAACACGCATTCATATTTTCAAACATCCGCACTTACATTCAAATTTTAATTTTGAAATATAAGTGTTAAAATACATTATTGATCTTTCGAAGTTATTCTTTCCACGCACTCTAATGTTTTGCTTTACTTTGTAGAGGTTTCTTTTCACAATGACAAATGAGAATTTTTGCACTTTTTCCGTATGTTAGTTACGCCGCCGCCGGCGGATTGATAGGTTATCGGTTTGTGTTTAGGATGCGAAATGAATCGCCATAGCAACGTCGGAATACATTTCCACACTGATTCGACGCGCGGCATCGGCGACGGCGTCGGTCGTGTGCATGCATCGTCGTCGCCGCAGGGTTCAACTGCAGCCGGCGTGGCGCGCCGTTGCATTTCGGGCCACACGGATGCACCCGTGTGAGGACAATCGCAACGATACTGTCCATTTACACGCGGAGCTCATATTATACCGCACGCGAAAATGTAAAAGACGCGGAAGTCAGAAAGGGAGACGAAAGCAGTCATATTTATGTATCAAAATGCATATTTGTTGATAAATCGCGGTGATATTTTTACACGCGAAAAAACTGTATAAAAATTGTTATTACAAAAAATACACATATATTTTGTGAAATTCGTTTTTGCGTAAAAGCGCGATAACAATTAAAAAAAAAAAAAAAAAATACGATGTTTTTTTACGAAATAAAAATGTAAACGATTCTTATTCTCTCTTAAAATATACAGCGAAAAAGAAACACGTTTTACGTGACAAATAGAAAAATGCGATTTTTTTTAAATCCACGGCGACTTTCGCTGGAATATGCGCCCTGGATGCAACAGCCATTAATCGAATTCCTCTGTGCAAACATATCATGATTGGAAATCAATGATCCGGAAAGCACTCGACAGACGCTTTATGCTTGATAGAGGAATACAGTTTGATCAATCGTAACACGATTGTCTCTATTTATTGAAATTGCATTTCTACAAAATTGTCAGCGAAAAATACGAACGCTAAAGCTAAAGGTATAAAATAAATAATAACAGAATGATATATTCATACATACACACAAAACTGAAAACCAAATCGAAGATACGATGTTTTCGAATGTATGTACGATTTGTCGCTTAATGAGACACGTCTGCGAATTATAATAATATTTAACAAATTTATAAAAATATTTACGCATCAATTTGCCGTGAACGATAATATTTGAAGTCTTTTGTATCATTGCCATGTTTACGTTCGCATGAATTCGTATACGGCTATCGTCTATAGTAACCTAAGGAGTGGTTTAACTTCTCTATTAAAAACTATTATGTACTACTCATCGATTGTGCTGTGTAAAGGTGCAGTGACCCGACAACGGGGCAAACGCGCGCGTTATATCGACGACTCCGGTATTTCGTTCATTATAGTCACGAAGCAATTTCTCGGAACGTTGCAACCGATTCTGTGCTGCAGTCGAATAATACACACAGTGACACAAATCGCGTCACTCGCGTAATTTTCATGCGATAAAACCGATATTTCGCCGAATACTTCGACCCTTCGAACCGACATATTTGTTTGGTATATGAAATTCGAGTGGAAGTTTACTGTGTGTTGCCGACAATGTAGTTTCCGACGTAAATTCGTGACTTTTGCGCGCAAAGTTGCGAAACTTGAAAATTGAATTACGCCCCCCTTCTGGGCTTGACGAAAAATCACGGTCGTCGTTGTCGCAAGCGCGGACGAAAACAATCGATCAGCGGAATCGTGCCCGGCAAGTCGAACAGCTATCTCTTTCCCGTGAAATCTCGGAATCTTCCGCGGGGCATCTCCCGGGAAATCGCCCGTAATAAATCGACCAAAAGCGGAGAAAATTCGTCCCGCGTCGGTCGGAATAATGATGTAACCGATGTAACTTCTTCCCAAACCGGAGAACATTTTCCGTCTAATGGGAAAAATTTCAGAGCGAGGGAAAAACGTAATAAAATCTCCAATCGTTCGCGATCGGAAGAGCGCGGAAGAGAAGAAAAGCTATAGTAAAAATATGTCAACAGCGTTCTTTCCTGCAGATAAATTTTTAAAACTCATAAAATTATATTTTAAACTCGAACAAAGAGTTTTTTTTACGCGCGAACTTTTTAAACAATTTGTTTTTTTTTTTTTTATTTCGAGTCATGTCTGATGCGATATCTTTCGCGTCCAATTACAGTTTTTCGCGTGTTTCTGCGTTTAAGACGGGAGGATTTGTTTTCTGCATCGAAAGATTCGCTCTTTGTACGGAAGCGAGAGAGATAGGACGAGTCGGCGCGCGCACGGTGTAACGTAGCGATGGGATCAAACGTGATTCAAACGGTACCGATAGTTTTTTTTTCGAGGCATCGATACGGAAGGTCAATCACGGAGGTCGTGACCTTCTCTTCTATAGAATTAACCTCTACACTCAGAATCACTCCGTAGGTAGAGCCTACCGCAGTTTATTCCAAGCAAGGTACATTGCGTGCTTTTACTAGATACGTTACGAGATTCTATTATTTAAACATCTGTAAAATCATTTCTTCTTTGTATACTTAATTAACTTATTTACTTAACATATATGTACCAAAACGTAAAATAGTTTAGATAATTCCTTTTTCGGCAAACTCATTTAAATCAATATTATGATGCATTTTAATATGATCATTATTTTGAGAATTACAAATTCGCAAACTTGTTACTCTAATAAAAACAGTTTTAAGCTATTTCTGATGAATGAAACTTATGCTTTTAACAACTTAAGATGTTTAACGTTGAGCAAGGAATTAACAATGACGTAATGAAATGCGACACGATCGTGATTCGATTATTAGATCGGACGACGGTTATTTTAACGTCCGTCGATGGCGAGAGAAAGAGAGGGAGAGCCGCGCTTGGTGAATCGATTGAAAATTACAGCTTGGGAATTGGATCGGGCCCATCGCTAGCGTCCGCTCGAGAGGGAAAGAGACGAGATACACACGTCGGGGAGAAGCTACAGCAAAGCGAATAAGTGGGGACGACGGAATGAGGCGCATGTGGTGGGATGGGTGGAGGGTGCGCGGGAACAAAGAGAGGAAACTGTGAGGGAAGGATGAGGGTGAGACAAAGACGGAGGAATGGAGAAAGGGGTTGCGGAGAAGAGAACGAAAGGGAAGATGCGACGATACAGAGAGAAAGAGAAAGACGACAGAAGCCGACCGGTAGAAAGGTTATAGTAGAAGGGAAACTACTATTGGAAGAACTCTCGGAGATCGACGAGAGAGGGAGGAAGGGGATGAACCGCGGAGTTGGGGGAGTACGGGCGAACACATAGAGAGCTAAAAGATGAAAGTATAACCCCGGCAACATTGGCTTTCCCAAGCCAAATAGAACATTATGTCACGTATAAATAAAGCTGTTTCCGAACTTCGGCTCGATAGATATTGCAACGCCAATAAATTATCTTTTCCTAGCCACCGTATAAAATCGTCCTGAGTATGTATGTATATGTGTGTGTGTGTATATATATACATACATATATATATATATACACGAGGTAAATCACGCTCCGCTTGGCACGTTGCACAATTACCGAAAGAGTGTGTCTTTCTTACGGCGCGCGGGTTTTCACTCGTGCGGAAAATTTATCGGATTATATAGACTCAGTGGCCAGAGAGGAAGCCATTGCTCGGAAACGCGAGAAAAATTATTTTTGTTCCTGTTGTTAAAAGCTAAAAGAACTCGACAAATCTCTTTCAATGCACGTTCATACAATTACTACTGCAGTCTTTCTTTTTCGAAATCGAACAAAAAAACAGTACGACAATAATATACAAGCTAGTAAATAAAGAAGTAATCAAAAATAATTGTTTGAATAATTATTATTAATATTTACATTAAAATTAAAATATAAGTAAATGTAAATATACGTAATTTCGTATAACGAGAAAATAAAGAATTGAATAAATAAGAGAATTGATTAATCAATGTGAAACATGTGTATTTTATACTAAGATATTGTAATCATTTGCGTACATGTGTTATATCGTTGCGTAAGCGATTGAACTCTGCCCGGACGAGCGATAATAATTAATGCGTTTAATGCGGAAAAGGAAAGACATTACGAGGGACAAGTAGTAAGTCAAACTTAGTGAAAATGACGTCGCTCTGCGAGCGCGGGCGAACAATTAAATTATCGTGGAGGCAGAGTAGATAACGATGCACTCCGAGATGCAGCATAAACCACGGGTTATGTCGCGTGGATTATGTGCATATAGAACGTTTCATGTAGTCAGAGAGAAGAGAAGGGGAAGACAGAGAGAGAGAGAGAGAAAATGTGCATGTTTGAGTGAGAGAGACACGGTGTTACACACTCATTCCGACACAGTTACTATTCTCCGCGAACAGTTCGCACTGAAGTTCCTGGCATTCCCACGTAGAGTCGCTACCTCTCAATTGAAAGTCGGTAAACGCGACGAGCTTACTGCACAACGTGTAGGTAAACGGGAATTCTGCTGGGAAAATTCCTTCCAAAGTTCCCGCCAAAACCCACCCTCGAACTTGCCGCAAATCTTGTTCGCGTCTTCTCTCGACGGTGATTTAATTGCGTGCTCGTTGCAACACGAAATACAATCGCATTTTTTTTTTAATATATGTCTTCTGTGAATTAATTAATTAATTAATAGTAAACTTATTGTTACTCGCAACTATTTAAATTAAAATTTTGTTACGCGTTCAAGTGTCATATGATATCGAGTAACACCCTTTTTTATTTGTTACAGGACGAGGTGCTGACAATTTCGGAAAAGGTGGTCGTCCGCGTGCACGACCTGGTCACGTTTCTCTCGCCCACGTTGGAATGGTCATGGGGCCGAGAGGTGTCCTATCCGACGACGCCGACGTCGTCCCCGGAGACAAGCCCGCTAAGATACGAGTTGCCGCAACCGCAAGTCCTGACCGATCCGGGAATCGATTTTTCGGATGTCGACAAGCAGCAGAAGGAATACGAGAGCAGCGTGAATTTCGCCAGAAGGTCGGATTACGGATTTCAGACCAAGGTGGTGGTGCTCTCGTATCCGAGGTACTGCCGATACCGGGCGCTTCTGCGTAGACTCGACGGCGCCGAACCTTCCTGGCTCGGCACGGCGATCGCGGCCGCGTTAGGGGGTTTCACCGCGAGTCCAGGCACCAGGGTACTTTTTTGCAGGGATACCTTCGATTATCCCGATCTCGAGACCCACGAACTGCTATGTAATCATTTGGGTATGTACGATTTGCTTCTCGGTCAGTTGCTCACTAAATAATTTAATATATTTATCATGTGATAATATTAATAATGTTTGTGCAATTAATATTTATAATACACATGCAATAATTGCAAGTCGATGAAGAGTTTTGTGTAGACGTTGAAATATGTGAAAGTTAATTCGTTATATTTAAACTCTTTTGTAATTTTTTTTTTTTTTTTTTTGTAATTTACTAAGTCTTACAATAAATGGATACAAAATATATGATTGAAAATAAATCAAGAAAAAAAAGGTAGAACAAATGTCACGGCTATATAAATTTTTCTCTTTAAAGAGAATATATGTCGAATACGAAAATATTCATATATTCATGTTCGTGTGTACGTCAAACCAGATATACGTGTGTGTGTATGCGGCTGGTTTATAAGAAACTTGGAACGTATGACCTTAGCAGTTGTTTACATGACACTACGCGTATCTCTTGTACATACAATATATTATATGGCTTGACGTTTCTTTCTGATAACGTTATTAATTTTTACTTATCTTTCGGAAATGTGCAAGAATTATAAGATTCTGATATGCTTTTTGGTATTAACAAACATAATAAATAATAGTAATAATAATAATGCAACTACAGTTATTTACTATTAATAATAACTGTACTTTGATCTTACGCACGCGATATATAATCAAATAAAAAAACACACACCATTTTCATTTTAAAAACATTTTTTGTGAAAACTAACTACGCAAATACAGTTAAAAAAATATATCTTTTTTAATTTTTTTTATACCCTTTAATTTCGTTATTTTTGATATTATTCTTCTACCAAAACTCTCTGATTTTTGAGCAAGTATATTTGTCCAGTTTTTACGTGGAACAATTTTCTGGATAAAATGTCGTTTATAAATAAAAAACCTGTTTCGACAAGTGTTTTTTTTGACTTGAAAATAAAACAAATAAAACTATAAATCGTTGAGTGGACTTGATATGCAATAAATAAAATTACGAAGTACATTTTGCAATCTCAAATATTTTTTCACATATCTTTTCTCTGTACATCGCATACAAGTTAATACGATAAATTCAACAGATTTAAGTTCAGATACGTCTCTCAAATATCGAATAAGTAATTTAAGTGTATATCGTTTTTCGAAGTAATTTTTTTATGATTTCTTCGAATTAAAAGAACGTGAGCACAACAGACGTTCGTTTAACAGACACACATATGTACCCACACATTTAGACAAATCACAAGACCGTATGTTTTTCTGAATGTATTTTTCTGAAGTTTTCGATTCTACGTAATCAACGCGGAAATCTAAAAAAAATCTCGAAGGAATTCGAACGTGTCGAAAACGTTTGTGTGATTCGCAATTACTCGAAGGATATACATATACATATGAACAGCACTTTTGGACACACACAAAGAGAGCCGGTGAAAGCAAACTAAACAAACAAGCGATAACGATCTTTCTCGCTACCGATTGAACAGGTCTCTATCGTGTCCGCGCCGACGTTACAAAATAAAGACCGGCGCGCTATTTCATTGGACGGCATAATATTGCCGATATATATAATCCCGCGGGATGTTATTATGCGAAGATATGGTTCAACAGGAGGACGAGAGGAGAGAGCGGTCGAGACATTACGAAAAGCTGAGCCCTCGTGAACGAAACTCGTCAGTTCATTTGTCGAGCGTTTTCCGCATTGGTCATAATTCGACGAGCGAGGCGAGCGCTCGCGCACGCATTACACATACACGCACATATACACGAGCGGTGTGTCCGTCCGCAAAACTCGTGCGTGCATTCGTTGTTCAACACGCATGCGAATCGGCCGGTCAAAAAATTACGCGGGCATCATCGTCGCGAGGACTGTTCCGCAACGTGGTACCGCAACGAACGAGACATAAAAAGTGTGTTTTTATTCGATTGCGCGATTACGTCGATCCTGATCGAATTACGGATATTTCGTCGTTCGCAATTCAAGTGCTTCTTTGTTATGTATATTGATTCGGTTCATCGCCATTTGCGACGTGCTTTATTACTAAACGATGTAGTTTTAAACGAGTAAGCGTCATGAAGAGTGCTGTGCATATGTGTTATATATAAACAGGGTCGTGTGTGAATTACTCTGAAGCAGATAACGCGCGCGCGGGACGCGAGTTTACTTCAACACGCGATCTAATAATTGCTCTCTGTTGTTGGTTGACTGTACATGGCCGAATCATTGCGCAAAATACGGTTTCGAAGATAAAGCGATTGATAGGCGTGAGTTAAAAGCTTAGTGATATACGGAAAATATACGTTGTACGTATTTCTCTGTTGTGCGACGGTGCACTTTACAGCTAAAACAATCGTCCGTGAGTCATTTGTTTTATCTAGCGCCGTATTTTTTTTTTTTTTTGCAAAGTTTATTCCGTCCGCGAGGTAAATCGCTTTTTTTTTATCGTCCGCCGATTATTGCAATCGCCGTCGTTTCGTTGTGGTACAATAACCGCGAATGTCGCTCGGATCTTTCCGACGGACGCAATGGCCATCGTGATGAAAATTCGGAACAATCAAGTGGTGTATTTGAATATTCTTGGTAAGGAGACGAAAAAAGAATGATTACTTCGTTGCAAAAGCGTCGAAAGAATTGTTTTTTAATCTTAATGTTCTTGCAATGATTCAACGAAGTGTGCACGTGTCCGTGTGCACACGTGTTGCGTTGACTTACTGTGCACTTGAAACTGTGATGATAAAAAACCAAAACAAAAAACGTTATGTTACGAAATTCAACGCGTAAATTATTTTCGCGTTTTTTTTTGTAAGACGTTTATCAAGTAATATATGTTTTTTTTTCACGATTTTGCGGAAAATCTCGAGTGAACATATATGCGATATTTCAATTCCTCTATATGCGACTATAAAAAAAGCTCACATATATACTGCTGCATATTAATTTGAGCAAATTTCTTTGAAAATGTAGACATCAACGTATGTCGCAACAATTACATTTTGTAAATATTTTTGTATACGAATAACATTTATAATCGAATATTTAATAATATTAATTTATCATTAAATTGATAATGAAATTATATTTGGCAAATTTTTCAGAGTACGTATTTGTGAAAAAAAAATAAAATAAAAATAGAGATCAATTAACAAAGAATGTGAAGTGATCGAGCTTGTGATATATAAACTCTGTTATACAACTTTCGAGTCATTCCTGTGCCGATCTGTTTATCAATAACTTTGTCCTAGTCTGCGCTAACTTTGAAATAAGTGAATAAATGTTCGCTCGATGTTTATAATCACTTCGAAATATTCCGGCACTCAGGATTGCTTATATTACACACATACCTCGCTATTACATATTTCCGATACTATTTCTACATTTTAATATTGAAGAGATGATTATATTTTGCAAGATATTTTTAACGTTTAAACACATCGCAAATTATACGTAAAAATATCGCACACATACGTATATATTGGTATTTATCTATGTCAATATTATGTAGGTAATTAATTTTCTTTTTTTTAAATAACATCAAAATTGGCGAAAGAAAAAATCAAGATGTCTCAGAACACAATTGTGTAAATATTTATTTGCCGCTGGCTGTTTCAATAACGATTTTAATCTCAAACTGTGCTACTAGAATATTCAGAACAAAGCGAAATATTTATTCGGTGTTTTTATGATGTTATTTTTATCATTATGAGTGACACAACACTAATGCATCATTCCTCGATCGTTGAAAAAATCACTAGCTTGTGACACCACTACATTTCACACTACGGTTACGTGCTATTTTCAGCCTTAAGTTCTCTCCGTGTTTCACTTTTTTTCTATTTACTGGAACATGCTTCTGGCATGTTCCAGTGTAGAGGCACTCTTTTCACATCTCATCGAGTATAAAATGTACATAAAACATTCTTAACATTCCGATCTCGATGGTATTCAACATCCTCGTGTAATTTTTCAGCACCGAAACTAAAGGGAAGACCGCGGAGGAAGCGTAAAAAGCGCAGTGCCTCGCCGGGTGAATCTTCTAACGAAAGCGAGGCGTCGGTGGCCTCGACGTCGAAGAGCACGCCGGCGACCACCAGCAGCAGTCTGGTGATACCCACGGTCGGCCGACCGCCCTCGTCGGCGGTGCGGCGGAGCGAGAGAAAAACCAGTGCGGAAGAGAAGAAGTTTATCACGGACGTGCAGAGTTTTATGAACTCTCGGGGTACGCCGGTCGGAAAGATGCCACTGCTGGGCTACAGGCAGAGTCAGTATCTTTTTCCGGTTTTTTTGTTTGTTTTTTCCCCTTGATAACCGATAACCCGGTCTCAGAAGACCGGAAAACCGGAGAGATTTTTTTCCGATTTTTTTCACTTCTTGATTCCGCGACGATATCCTTCCGGCCGGCCGGGGATTCGTTCGTCGGACTGCAGAGAGCTAACACACAGCAGGGTTTCCTTCTCGCAAAATTACACCTATCGCGTTATCGCGACGATTACTAACAGGTCTCTCTCAATCTCTCTTCTTGTTCGCAGTTGATCTGTTCCTGTTCTACACGAAGGTGCAAATGCTCGGCGGGTACGACACCGTCAGCGCTGGTCGTCTCTGGAAGACAATTTACGACGACATTGGCGGCAATACGGGTTCAACTAGCGCGGCGACTATTACACGCAGACATTACGAAAGGTAAGACGTCGAGATTCTTGTCGGGATTATGTTTGTGAAAGATCAGCGAGTTTTTTTGTATTCAGAAAACGTGCTAGTGCGACAACGAAGTTGTTTTTGTAGATTGTTATTACCCTACGAAAGGTATCAGCGAGGTGAGGAAGAGAAAGAGAAATTGAACAATGGACGACGTATCAAAACCACGAGCTTATCAGAGGATTTAGATGTCAAGGAGGAATCTAACGATCTATGTCCGTCGGAAACACCACCACCTGTAGAAGCAATTTCCGCGATCACGACGTCACCTCTGCAACCAATAACGTCGTCAGCAACGACGGTAAATGTAGTTAGCACGAAGATATATGTATTATATTTTCCACTATTATCTTATGTAACGAATATTTTTCACGCTGTGTATTCAAACTTTTTCAGCCTTCGCTCTCGAATGAGAAACCAAAAACCGAAACTGGCAAAACGTCTTCGTTGCGTAGCGTACGAGTGAAGCCGGAACGTCTAAAGTCCCTGAACACAATAATCGCCAACAGTGCGACACCTTCCAGCCAGCAAGCTAATCAACTGCCAAGTCCACCGCCATCCTCCAACACATCTCTTTCAACACCCAGTAGCACACCCTCCACGACACCCACAAGCGGCACCGGTAGTCAAAGCGTCCTCGAGAGACAACTCAACAGTCCGTTGATAACCCAACAAGTTCCACCATCGTGTTCGCCACCGGGCTTGCCCGTGACCAGCGTAGCGACGGTCGTTACCCTGACACCTCCACCCGAGAAAGACATGAAAGAAATTAAACTTGATCCCAAGCAGACGACATTATTGGCGCAGGGCAAAGAAAACATCCCGCTGTTTGGCGGCGAGAAGCCACCCATCTACGTCGAGAAAACGATGGTGCCGCCGGTCTCCAGGTCGCCCGAAGTGATCGATCTCGAGAACGAGAGCGACAACACGACACGAGACAAGATAATCATCCCCAGTTTCAAGAAACGCAAGCTCGAGATTCTGCGCGAGGGCGGTCTCGAAGTCACCGCTGTCGACTTGGAAATGCGACCGAGCGTGATTCAGAGCAGCGTCACACCGTCGCCGCAGCCACCGGCCACGATGAGGAACGAGGAGAAGCAATCGCCGATCTCGCCGTATTCGCATCCCGTCACGCCTAATTCCGTTCCCAAATTGATATCCGTCACCGTGACGCCCGACATAGGACACATGTTGCCCTCGCCGCAGGAGCATCTGAATCATCAGCAGCGCGGTCCGATGATCAAACAGCCGCCGGCTCATCACAACAACAACAATAGCATGATGACCAACAATAACGTGATGAATAGTCGGGTGATAAACCTCGGTAACTCGAATAACACCGCGCTGTTACAGCTGTACGCGAACGCGAACGCGAACGCCGCACCACCGACTTCAGCGGTGATCCCCTCGTCCGTGCAACAGCCAAACAGTCGTTTCGTTCCACCAAACATTTTAAACGGCAGGTTGATGCCGCCCAAAGTAACGCAATCGAGATCGATATTTATGCACAACGAAAAAACGGTTTACGGGAATCCGAAGGAAATTCTCGGCTCTCCCAAGTATCGTTCGCCACATCCGCCTCAACAGCAGCAGCAACAGCAGCGCTCGCAAATTCCGCAGAGTGGCGGCGATCCCGGGCAAGGTGGTGTTCTCGATTTGACGCAAAAGTCCAACGAGAAACCCACATTCCCCAGACCCAGTCTGGAAATAGTCAAAGTACCTGTAGTGCCGAGGCCTAATCCGTTGAATCTTGAAATGCGGAATGTACCCACGGCCAAAGACAAATTGTCGGACCGACCTCTCGTCGACTGTCCGAAGCGTGCACCCTATATCCCCGCCTATCAGAATGTGATCGACACACGGACCATCGCCTCGAACAATCTCGAGATCACGTTGGTGAATCCCGCGGGTAAGCAAAAGAACAATCATCATCTGGGCCCACCTCCACACGTTCAGATACCGAGTCCACCTAACAAGAGTAACGTGATGGGAACGTTGAATAGCGCGCCGAGAAGACAATCGCAACTACACCCGCCCTCTCAAATAAATGGAAAGTACGCGGCGAGAAACGAGCCCGTTTCCCCGTACACGCCGAGGAAGCCGACTCATCCTGTCATACCGAACGTACCTAATCTGAATCAGCTGAATCACACCTCGAGTCCATTCCCTAGAATACAGGCGACCACGATGCATCAGCAACAGATGAGCATTGACAGAAGGAAAGCGGCTGCGGAGATCGCCAGAGATCATCAACAGCGTAGAATTAGTGAGGGCGAGAAATCCTTAGCCGCGCAGCAACAGCAACAGCAACAGCAGCAGCAGCAGCAGCAAGAATCCAGGCAGAGCGAGGTCAACCGACGGCACAGTTTACCCAGCATACCGTCGGGCTTCGTGCCGACAGTACCGCAAGCCAATTCCACTCCTTACTCGTTGTCGCAACTGCCAAACGTGCCGGGCAAGTTTCTACCGCCGATTCTGGACCCCATGTACTATCCCACGTTTTACAACGGCTTGTTCCCGCCGCCGCTTCCGCCCACGGCCGCTGTCGCCGCCGCAGCGGCGTCGCCGTTTCTGCCGCCCGAATTTGGCGCATATTACAAGGAACTACTTGCTTCCTCGCAACCAAGACTGACGGGGATGGCGGGGCAGTCGCCGCATCAACAGCCGGCCGCCCCAACGTCTAAGTAGACAACGGGATCTCAACATGTAGGGTTTCCGGCATAACGATAGAGAGGATGTTTCGAGTTATTTAGAGAAGGACAAGGATCCGTCGGACTTCGCTATATAATTTGCGTACGAAGCGATTTAAAAACTTGTAAGAGCGTGTCGATGAAACTTAGAAAAAGTGAGAGATTTATTGTCTGCGTTATATTGTTTTTTTCTTTTTTTTTATTCAATTAATAACTACGGCAACAAAGTTATTCACAGTGTTCGTTTACGATAGAGAGAAGAACGACGATCCCGTGGATTTTCGTGCGTAGAAAGACACAGTAAGGATGTGAAACTTTAATCCACGTCACGTGTGACATTTTTGTCGAGTCGCACGAGATTCCAGAGGGTCGTCGATTATTAGGAAAAAAAAGACTCTGTGATAAAAAAAAAAAAAAAAAAAAAAATGCGACAATGTATTACCATTGAGAGAGGCAGTCGATGGAATATTGCCACGAGAAATCGTTATTTTTATATGTTTATTTTATGTGAGAAATTTTTATTTGCGCGCGTTTTTGATTTTCATTTCAAATATGAAAAACAAGTATTCTAAGTGTGAAAATCCTGTTTTCATTATTATTAGATGTAATCTTCTTACTTTTTGTTATATCTTTCTTGAGAATAAATAATTTTTCTTTTTAACGCGTGCAGCGATTTACATATCCTTATAACATGTAACGTACGTCGCTGATTTTTGTTTGTCGATGTTTGATTTTCAATTTTTGTTACGTCAAACAAATATATACATATATTTGATTTAGTTTGAATATCATGTGATATAAATGTCGATTCGAAACAAAAAACAAAAGTAAACAAAAGAGAATTAGAAGCGAACGTTTGACCGACGGATCATCGGGATTGTATAATTTGTTCACTGTGTAATGTGGTAAGTTTTGTGTAAAATGTATCGCTCGCGAAAACCCTATGTACTGTATAAGCTCTAGACAATTTTCATTATAATAAAAGAAAACGAAACACTCGTAAACAATCACATAACACACCGATCTGTAGTCACCTTTAACGATTATAAGCGCACGCTTGCAATGATATAGTAGCAGCGAAACATGTACATAGTGTATATAATCACGTAAATCATTAAGCTAGGCAAAAATCTGCATTATCTTTCAATATTACGTAAGGAAGTTAAGTTTAGTAAGTGTACAGGCTGTCTTGCTCGTGTGGCCAACGATTGTCGTATCGCTGTTTCTGTATGAGAGACGTAAACGATATATTTCACAAAACAAAAATAAGGGTCTCTGATTTGTTTTTATTTCGCTCAGAAGACAGTTGTGCCGATCTTTCATCTCCTAAACACCGTGCGCCGACACGAAAGAGGGAAAAGTGCGTACCTCTTTTTCCGTTTTGTGTTTTCTGTACAAATTGACGAAAAGAAAAAATCGACCGATTGTGTCACGCGATCGCTGCCGACCGTCGATCGAACATCGCGGGCCACTACACAACGTGTACTTCGAAAGAAAAATAAAATTTACCGACGGTATATATCCATGTTAAATGTAGACATATAGAATTTGTTCGTTTTAGGATACTCTGATCAAAAGAATAAATATGAGGATAACGTTTAAAAAAAAAAAAAAAAAAGCATTTCGTGACTCTGAGAGGTTACAGGGGAGGGAAAGATCCGTGTATTCTGGATCGTTCTAGTGAAAAATTTCAAGATTTCTATATTGATGTCTTTCAAGAATATAAATGAGTTGTTCACGTTTTTTCTCGATTGGTTCTTTCGTGATGACGGAACCAGGGCGCATTCCGCGCCGATCGCGAAAACCGCGGTTGTTTAAGAGAACGCGAGCATTTCCAGTGGTATTCAACGATCAAGTCGGGAAAACAAAATTTATCGATTGCAGAGCGCGCGAACAAACAGACGGCGCTACCACTGTTGTTATTTTTGTAAAGACTGCGGCTGACTTCCGGCAAAATCAGGCGCGCGGCTACGATTTGTAATCGTCGTGTCCGCTCCGTGTTGAAAAAAAAAAAAAAATGGTGCTATACGACGACGAGAGAAACAAATTCTATTGTACGTCATTTTCGAAAATTTTAACGGGCGTTGTTGGGTACCAATGGATCTTTGGCGCGATCGCCCGAAAGAACTACGATCTTAAGATAGATCTTCACGTCCAAGTCTGATAACCGTATACAAAAAAAAATTTAAACGCTAAATGAACTCTCACCGAGTTTTGGTGTATGTATAAAAAAAGTCGAATTTACGGGTCCGTTATGATTCGGTGTAATGTCGTGGGGTTCGTACAGCGGCGAGAACAAAAGGCGAAAGAGACAGCGAAAAAACGAATTATATTGTCGAGTCTCCGCAAGAAGAAAGGCTTATACAAGAATACGTGCCATAACAAACTGATTAGATAGCGATTACGAAAAATCGAACAATGGCGACGGTCATTTGTATATGCTTTTGACGAGCCCCCCTTAAACAGTTTAGAGAAACTAAGAAAGGTAGACGCGAGTCGAAAATATAAAAGAAGAAATATAATAACATAATGTGCAAAATTCCACATGGAAGATTTTTTATATATGATTTTTCGTTCACGTTCTGTTACCGCGATTGTTTGTTTTGTAAATTTTCCGAGTCCCCCTTTTTTATAGACGCGTGCGTCCGTGTGTGTGCGAGAGTGTGAAATAAGTGTGTCGACAAGAACGAATGAGAGACTACAGAAGGGAATCTTCAAAGAACGAGATACACAAAGAAAAATCTATCGATCGTTTTCGTTTTTTGCGAGTTTTCTTTTCATTTTGTATACTTGGTAGAACGATTTTAGCATAACTATCTCTCTCGTTTTCCCACTTTAATAATAATATATATTATTATTACGCGCGATATATATATAAATATTTTTTATTATATGGGCATTTCAGTTCCTAAGTTGGAAATAAAATATCTACTATAAACAGACTGTTTTTTTCCTATTGCATGATGCATATATGAAAGAAAAGATATTGAATATTTCTGCATAATATTTATAACAAATTTTTCAGGATTTTTCTCAAAACAAAAGTGAAGAGATATACATGTAATATACATATAGTATATGCTATATGGTAGGTATGCATATTTTCTAGTTTATGCGTATATAATTGAGAAAGGAAATATTTATATTTAAAGACATTCATAAAAAAAACTTCTAAACCAAGAATATTGTTAGTAACTTTGCTTTGTTGTTAATATGTGTATATTCTCTGCAAAATGATTAGCAGCATATATGTATATAGTACATATACATATTATTATCGTTATTGCATCGGAAAATCGCACTAAATTGCTAGCCGCGCGTTACGCGAAACATTGAAATTCCAATTTTGCATAAAGCAGAGATTGCAATAAAGAATGAGTGAGAAGCTGATAACAAATTGAGATATTTGATTTTACTCACCGGTAAGTCTGCGCTCCCGTCTGGATACTGCTCTCGGTTTACCGCTATGGTCGGATCCGCGTCCCATTGGTTGGATCGTTGACGTCGGCGCACCACGAACACGGCGTAACGACCGAAAAGCGAAGAAAAAGGAACACGGTATGCCGCGCATATACACCGCGAAATTTAAAATCTCTTTACGGCGGCTATAAACCGATACCGCTCCTCTCATGTTTAACCAGTTTAGCGACGACGTTCAAACGCTTTTTACCTTCGCGAAATTGTTCCTGTTCCGTTTTTTCCGCTCGTTTCGTCCGGTTCCGTCGTCCCTTGTCTCTCGCTTCAAAACCAGTCGATCTCTTTGTTTTCAAAATATATCTCGAAGTTATGCGCGTTCGTTAACTCCGTGCGCGATTTCGCTCGCGAGCACGAGATCGAGACGGACTTTTACGCGATAAAACCTCGCTATCAAACCTCATGGAAAAGACTTTTTCTCGAAAGATTGCTCGTTGCGCGATCCAGCCAGCACGAACCGCGGACTCTCTGAACCGACTGAATTTGTCTTCGCGAACTGCTGCCAACTTTTTAACTTGCTGCAACGGTCGTTAAAAATCGGACTTTATGGATATTGTGTGACAGAGACCTGTCGATGGTAATTTCGTCAAAGCCGTCGTACCTCTATGTGATTCTCTCTGTTCCATGATTGTGTTCGATAATGTATATTCCGCGCGTATACGCAAAATATAAATTACAAATATAATTGAAATCGATATATTGTGACAATTTATTTTGATATGTTTGCTATATTATTGTTCGCAATAATAACTTTATGTGTCATTCGAAGCCAATTGATTTTATACAAAAAACTAACGTAACTAGTTTTATCGATTTTTGACAGATAACGTTCAGCTACGAGTTTTATAGTCCGAGTATATGTATATATTATTACGCGGTTATAGTCAGTGCTTCGGTGTGTTAAGTTACACGTTCGTCAGTCCTCAGTGTATACATAAACACGCGCGCGCGCGGGCGCGCTCGCAATAGATGGTGGGGCAAAATAGTGTTTACCTTTCTATCCCCCCGGTGACAATCGGCAAACACGCGGCTGTTGTAGTATTGTCGCGCATCGCCGCATGGCAAACCGCCCTTATGTACACTGCGGGATCGCAGTTGGAAATCCGCATTGACCCGCGAGAATCAGCAGCGCGCGCTATTTCCAAGCCGTGTCTTCATTGCGCGCGTTAAGGCGCGCGTGTCGTCATCGAGACGACGGCATGTCTCTCACGAGCCGAGAGGGAAGGCGTTAATTTCTTCGTCGATACAAACCCCGAGCTTGCGCGAGCGAGCAAGCAAGCAAGCAAGTAAACAAGCTCAGGTTTTGGCTGAGTGATATTGCTCGGAAAAAGTTAGTTACGTCAACGCGATCGGCCGATCGCGATTAACGATCAGCTGTAACGCGAGCCTATCGAATTACACGACGTAAATTTTTTATCAAGCTTGTGAAAGATTAATGATCGGAAATTATGAAGATGAGAAGGGATTATATTTTCTTGTGACCGCCGATAACGAAGTTACATGAATGTTATGCTTGTAAGTTTGAAGATAAATTATTAAAATGAGTGTAATTGATGAGAGAGGGAAAGAGAGAGAGAGAGAGAGAGAGAGAGAGTGAGAGATCGAACGTTACTATATTTTTAAGAAATACAAGATAACTTTACAAAACTCGGTAATGAAAATTAAGATTGTAAATATAAAGAAAGAGTATATGAATATAGGTAAAAATAAATAGTTGTGCATTTGAGATGCAAATGCTAAAAGCTATGGTAATCTTTGCCTTCATTTTCCGAGTAGGACGCTAGAACCGAGAAAACAAGAACAGCGTGATGTTGCACAAGTTTTATTCAAAAAGATAGCGTATATATACACTGAGCTTAAGTACATAGCGAGTGGTTTTAAAATAATTCTCCACAATGCTTTTCTGTGTTAATTTTTGCAACTTGCTTGCATTTTTGAAATATTTCTCTGTCAG